GATCAGTTACATATCTTTTCAATACATGGCGGGTAGGAGGCTTTACTGACGATTCCCACTCCTACCCGTATGCACTGTTCGGTCTGTGTTTACAGCTAAGGGATGAAACACAGAGACTACATCGTGAAATGTCTTCTTATACATGACACCTAATTCCAATCTTTTTGCTCCACTATCCAAACAAGATAGTACTCCCCAGAGGAAAAAAGCACCTATTTTCATGCTGTTTCTTTTTAAACGGCACTAATTAGACAAAGCACACAGCAAAGCAACCGTCAAGGGAAAACATCTGTGTGGCTGTACTTTTTTCCAGGTCATTTTCCACACGATATATATGTGTGGTTTCTTATTCGCTCAGCTGCTACAGGGCTGGGCTGCTCAAATGCCAATGTTTCGTAAGTCTTTTTCCAGCTTGAGGACCACAATGTCTTAATCTCAGTTTACACTAGTACTATCAAGATTGATCCTTATTTATTTCATTTTTTATGCTCTCTGTTTATTTCTTGTTTAGCTGATAATTTTCAACGTTTTTTAGATACTTTTATGTCTGAGCTTTTTAGACCTTATTTGCTTGTCACTTTTTACTTTTTATTTTGCTACCAATTTTTTAGTTTTTGCGAAATAACCATTTTTACATACATGTAATTACAAATATATTTAAATTTAGACGTCACACAAATGGGCATCGCCGGTAGGTTGACCATCAGACTATACAGCATTGGTCAAAGCAGTTACGAGATCCATAGTTGAAGTAGGCTATGAATTGTAGCTGACCAAAGTACCTTATGTTCTTCGTTACTGTTACTATTAATCTTATTATTATTGTCATATTACTAGTATTATTGTCATCATTGTTCATTATCTCTGCCGTTATTTCCGTTATCTTTAATCACTTATTATTTACTCATTTATTATCACCACTGTCATCATTATTGCTAATATCATCATATCATTAATATTTTCTCATTGTTAGGAAATTCTATAAATGGAAGTGATGCTTGTATTTTTTATGCGTTTTTTGCAGCAATGCAATGCGAAAAACGCATATTGACGAGAGGTTGTCTGTGTGTTCGTGTGTCTGTGTGCCTGTGTGTGCGTCTGTCACGCACTTTCATCTCCGGACCTATAAAAGCTGCGATGTGTCTGTGTGTGCGCTGGGCCTCTGTATCGGTTTTTCATCTCGAGACCGGCAAAAGCTACGGAGCTGAAACTTTGGGGACTTGTGCGTGTGTGTGTGCGCTGCGCGTCTGTACCGATTTTTATGCGTTTTGTGCTGTGTAACAGCCGCGTTTTTTGCAGCTATGCAATGCAGAAAACGCATATTGACGAGAGGTTGTCTGTGTGTGTGTGTGTGCGTCTGTGTGTGTCCGTGTGTGCGTCTGTCACGGATTCATCTCAAGACCTACAAGAGCTACGGGGCTGAAATTTTGGGGGCATAATCTACATGCACGTACGGGCCCCAATCCCCAAAACTGGCGCCATACCCCGCGTGGTACTCGCGTACGGGCCCCCCAAAGTTTTTTTCGAGTATGTTCATAACTCGGGCATCTGGAAAGCTAGAAAGCTGAAATTTTAAGGGGTTGTTCCCCGTCCAAGTAGGTACTAATGAGCTCAAATCCAGTCCCCGGGTAAGCATGGTACCCGCGTACGGACCCTCAAAATTTTCCCGCGCAAATTCATAACTCGGGGTTCTGAGATGCTAGAAAGCTGAAGTTTTAGGGG